ACTCGACCACATTGCCACAAGTGCCCTTGGGTCACAGGGCAGATGTGAATTTCAAGGAAGGCCAGGCCTTCTGTCATATTATATTCCTTGGTAGGATTGCCGATCAAGCAAACGTATATTTGCTATAACAATCGACTACGTTACTTATTTTTCGTATTTGAATAGACTTTTGAGACTACCAGTAAATCAGAAATATGAGATGTATTCACCCTATTTCGTTAAATGTGATGAAAGACTGGATGTAGAATTTTCCCACAATGATATGAGTAGAGCTGAAGTTTTCATTGAATTTCACATTGCCTTGCTTTCCCAAAAGTTGTTTTCATCTAAGGTGGACTGCAGTTTCGACCTCATTGACAATCCCACCAAAGAATATAATATGGTAAAAGACCTGACCTTTATTGAAATTCATATCTGCCCTGTGACCCAAGGGCACTCGTGGCAATGTGGTCGAGTGGTTAACGTGTCAAGCTCTCATTCTGCACTGTCATGGTTCGACTCCCGCTGGGGGTGTTGATAAGATTGATGCGAGGTCAAAACTGCAGTCCACCCTGGATGAGAACCACTTTTAGGAAAGCAAGGCAATGTAAAATTCAATGGAAAAGTCAGCTCTACTCATTTAATTGTGGGAAAATTCCACTACCAGTCATTCATCACCTTAAACGAAATAGGATGAATAGATCTCATATCACTGATTTACGGGTAGTTTCGAAATACGAAAAAATAGTTTTTAGACATGGTAAAAATAGGTCGTGCTTATTCTTATCTATAACAAATAAACAACACTAAAAATGGAGAGTCGCCAAAATGACCCTTTATATTTACCTGAAATGTTAGTCACAAATGTAATCTCAAATAAATTAAAGGATACAACAAGCAATGATAAGGGGCATATAACCAACACAACTTTACATATTTTGAAGGCTAGTATTTTCATATTTAATTGACTCTCAATTTCGAAATAAGTCAATGAAAAAAGATAGAAGAGTAATTCTGAAAAGCTGGAAAATCGATGACAAGTTAGCTCAACGCAAATCTAAAATAATTGACGATTAATTGTCATGATCACTTGTTCACATATCCAATTCCTTTAATTTTTTTCCTTCTAGGCCTATTCATGGAAGCGTTTCTGGCCCGACCGGATCTCCTTTAGCCAAAGCACATGGGTGTCTGATGGTGTTGGCCTGGGTGTGCTTCTCCAGCGTTGGCATAATTATTGCCCGTTACTACAAGGAATTATGGCCCAACTCGGGCCTCATTGGCGAGCGTGTTTGGTTTCAATTGCATCGCCTCTTTATGCTCATCTGCGTTGGCCTCAACATACTCGGTATAATCCTTGCATTTGCCTTCTGTAACGGCTACTCTAGGGTTACGGCCTATCCAAACTATATTCATCCTATACTTGGCCTGATCGTTTTCATTTTGTCCTTGATCAATGTAAGTTTTCTATCCTACATTTTTGAACAAATTTCGCTGGCATAAACAATATTTATTAGTATCCAATTCATATTATGTAAGAAACTATCTATTGCTGTGTGATCTAACTAGCTTCATTAAATCGCCTACATAGGAGAATACTGCCTTTAAGAGCCAAATTATTAGCCTTTATTTCGAGACTATCAGTGTCTCATGTATGAGATGTACTCATCCTCTTTCGTTTAGGCTGATAAGGGGAGACTGTTAATTGTATTTTCCCACAATGATATGAGTTGACATGAAGTTTTCATTGAATTCCATATAGTCTTGCTTTCCCAAAAGGTATTCTCATTCAGGGTGGACTGTAGTTTCGACCTTATCAGCACACCCATCTGGACTCAAGCCATGGTAGTGCAGTAAATAATCTTGGCACGTTAACCTCTATGCCACATCGGCACGAGTACTTTTGGGCCACATGGCAGATTTAAATGCCGTCTCTTTTTACACTTTATGTTAACAGACTGCCTCATTTTTCTTATTGAGGATTATCTGTGTCATTTTTGTGTGGTCTAGGTCTTCGTATAATGATTTCACATGCAAATTAGAACATGCATGTGCACGGAACATAATTTGCGGATATTTAGATGTTAAGACATAATAAATTATAGTGAACTTATCGGTGGCCTATCGGTTATTGGCTGTACAGTATTTCTTGCTTATTATATCTACAGAATTGCTCTGCATATCCTAGGATGATTGAATTTATTTCGACCTCTGTACCTGCCTTTATTTTCATAAATTCATGCAAGATTTGTCCATCTTATGTTGATAACTTAATATTGTTTACTCCTTGCTCTGTATCTAGCCATTCGTGACACTTTGTCGCTGTTACTCAGGTGATCCTAATAGACCTTGGTTCAATTGGATCCATTTTTTAATTGGGGCTATTGCACACGTGCTGGCTGTTCCCACAATGATGCTCGGATTTCGTATGCCTGGCGCTGGGATGCAATTAACATCGATTGCATATCCACTTTGGATATTGATCCTGTTCATTATCTTTGTATTCTGTATCGAAATCATTCTAGAAGTACATGGCTGCATCTACTACCGGAGAAATAAAGGTAAGCAAATAATATGAGTCTCCACGTTTTTCCTTATGGTGGCAAATTTCTTACCGTTTCCATTAAAGTTAAGTGTGCATTTTGAAAATAAATTTTGTAAACAATTATGTGAGACTGACTAGTCTGTATGTATACGAACTTATTAATTCTAGGTCGCTTAAAGTGGTTTAGGGACTGGTAATTAAATTTTTCCCTCAACCATATGACTAATCGTCATGACGCCATTGAATTTCATTTAGCCTTGCTTCCCGAAAATTTCTCTCATCCACAGTGGACTGTAATTGCGACGTCTGGACATATTCATTAGCCCAAGGGGATTCGATACTGGATCGTGATAACCTTAACGACGTTATCACTCAATTACGCAGCCGCAGGTGTCGATGGGTCACAGGGCAGGTGACATTTAAGGCCAGCCAGGCCCCTACCATATCACATTTATATTAGCATTGCCACTAAAAAACATATATTTGCCATTGCAATTGACGACGTCACTTATTTTTTATGTGAATCTTTCTTTATTATTGTCAGTAAAAATTGTGATCCCCGTAATTCACATAAATTTCATACAATCAAGCAATTTTTAAAATGGCAGTAGTCACCTAGAGTCCATCTTTTTATAAACTGAGCTTAAATTTTCTTGTAGCATTTCACATTTTCAAATATATATATATATATATATATATCAAGAAAAGTTGGTTTCTAGTGAATCTCTGCTTTACACTTGTTTAGCTCACTTCCATGGCATTGGATCCCTCTTGGCCATGTGCTCATTGGCCATTATGGTTGACTCCGTCCGCGAATCACTCTCTAATTTCTATTAACTAATGCTAGGCTTTTGTCTTTGTAGTGACAGCTAGCATCAGGGTAGAGTGTCATTCTTGAGATTCAAGCTAACGACTCTAGAAAACTCACCGACTTATCCCTATGTACTTTGTAGATATATCACGCACTATCATAATTTGAGTTGTCACTGTTATATTCGTAAACAAGTACACATGCTTCTAGATATAGGCACATGACTTGAAATAACGTGTATATATAGGTAGAATGTAGTTTCTCATCAGCACTCCCAGCGGGGCTCGAATAGTCAGAGTGCGGCATATAGTCTCGATACCTTAACCAATATGCTACATTTCTACAAGGGCCCTTGGTCCACAGGGCAGATGTGAATTCAAAGGAAGACCAGATATTTTCCCATATCACGTCCTGTGATGGGATTGTCGATGAAGCAAAGTTGTATTTGCTATAGTAATCGACTACATTACTATTTTTATAAGTTCAGTACGAAAGAATAAGTGCCTGCTCTTATCATTTTGGTAAAATTCAAGTACTAGTCCTCTTTCACTTTGCATCAGATTAGCTGATAGTCTCGAGAACCTACTTTACTTATGAATGGCCCTACAATGTTATTCGATTCCACCTAACTCTGCGTTACTTTCCAAATGGTGTGATTTCGATATCGGCTGGGCTCACATAGCGCCCCAAATAAAAATCCATATTTCGCCTTTACGCCAATAGCCATGTGTTCCGGTGGGTCATATGGCAGGTGCGACTTTACAAGATTCTCTCATATCACATTTCTGTTGTTGGATTATCGTTGAAATAAACATGTTCTCAGCAGTCGACAACATTGCTTACATTATTAATGGACGCTTTCGAAAATTTCATATGAATTTCTCTGTCTGGGGGGAGGCATGCATACAGATTGTATATGATTGTTTGCCGAATTTCAATTTTTGACATTTTGCATGTTGCCAATGTCTATTCAATTTTTTTCAACAATCTTCTATATGTGTATTATAGCTCAGGCAAATTATTTTATTCTATTGGCATATTTTTATATCTTTTACAAAATTTGATGCGAATGATAAGATTGGCTAATTAGTTTAGAATTGCAATCCTTATCCTATCCGGTTAGTCACTTAAGCCACTTATGCTGTAAAAATCTTTCCTTGTTAAATTAGCCCCGATTTTTCATTTTGAATAGAAGTTGCATGGAGAGTTGGCCTAACCGAAAAATCGCTCTAGAGCAGTGAAAAATCCATCACCTCACCTTCCTGCGAGCCCGTACCGAACTATCGCCTTCCACATGGCCGATAGTCACATCGTGGAGCCATCACGTATGAAAAGGCACTATACTAAATTAAGATAAGGTCGGCCGCAATCATAGTCCTTATAACCAGTTTTGCTATCTAATGAGGCATCATGCTTAATCTGCATGCTTGCATATGAGGGAAGTGGATTTATGAAACGAAGTGGATATATTCAGTTTTTTTACATAAGTAGACCATTTTTTGATCCTGCAAAGTTTATACGTGACATTGCTTATTTTTGGTATGTAATCTTAAAATCCTATGAGCCATAATCGGGTTTGAAACTATTCAAGCCTCCTATTGTTCAGCACTTCCTCGTACACTCTCCCTTAGCCTACCCATCTATAATACATTTTCATACACTCGTTCCTCGTATTCAGGATGCTGAGTATTTGCGAAGTTGGGTTTCGAGGAATCTCTTGTTCCATAATTGTTGAGCTTACTTCCATTTCGAGTGAAAGTGTTTGGTGAAGAGATTCGAAGGTCGATTCCACCAGAAGATGACGGCGGATTCCCCTTGACCAGCTTTCGATTGGCTTTATTGGGACATTCATGGTGACGCTGTTTCCGAGGTAATCTCGTTCGATTCCAGTGAAAAGGTTCAAAGCTTTCGTCCGTCATATGACGAACATCATCAGCGCAAGGTATCATCGTCACAAGGGGAAATCGACCTTCGGATCTCTTCACCAAACACTTTCTTTCGAAATGGAAGTAAGCTAACAATGCTGAGTATTTTTTATCTCTCTAGTTTTCTGGCATAATTGTACTCATTTATGTTCGCAAATCTCTTTTATTACAGATAAGCGACGTAATTATGAGGTCGATCTGGATCAATATCATTCAGCTATCCGACTCAACACTGGTGTTCAACCTCGACCACCGGAGCCGGAGCCTTCAGTAAGTACACGCAAAAGTATATAAAAAATTCCCCATAGCCTGTTGTGCTTTGGTATTGTTTCACCAGGTTTTCAAACTATTTTGAATACACAGCTTACTTAATCCATCTAGATCGAATGGATTATGTGCAATAATGTTGATATTAGGAATGGAACCTTGAAGATAATTCTTCTTTATATCAATTTTAGGACTACTCAACGCTTTAAGGATGTCAATTGTTATACGTTACCACCATCAATGATTTTACTGATACCATATAGGTTAAGGTTTTAGAGACCCTTGTATTTTATCGTTGATGTCGCAAGTAAACCCTTTATTATCTATGTTGCAGAAAACCCTAGGATTATTTTCTCCTTTACGTAATCATTTTAAAACCATAACTTGCGAATTCTAAGGCTTCATCTACATTTGGGTCTTGGAGATTGTTTACCCTCCAGTGAGTCCTTAGTCGGCGCCATTAGTTTCAGTCTATTTCGCACTCCTAAAGGATTTGAAAAATGGATAATCAACGTCGATACGATACCGAATACCATATACAAGCTTCAAAGATATATTTTAATTTCCTGCCTATAGATGCCAAAGATCACATGCTGTAATCTATCATATTAGAACGCTACAATGATTGGAATAAAAGGGAAATAATAAGGACTATGATAAAGTTTTAAACAAGCTCTACCATACTTCATTAGCACATCTAATGGATGGTTAAATTTT